CAGCCGCCCCTCAGCTCGCCCCGCCGCGCCACCGCAGCTGCAGGAACATCTGGCCTGGGAGCCCTGGCCCGTCGGCCGCCCCTGGGGGCGACTGCTGAGCTTGGTTCCGCGGAGGGTGCCAAGCCCCGAAAGCGGGGAGCTGGGGCAAAAGCATTTGAAAAGTTGAAACACCTGAATCGCGTCTTCCTTCCCGGCCACCTAGCAAGAGGGAAGGCGAAGGGGCGGGAAGGGCGCAGAAGGAGAGGCAGGGGTAAGCGGTGGCAGGCGCGCTCGCGGTGGAGCGGGCCGTAAAGTTGTGCGGGAGCTGCTGCTGCTGCGGCGGCGGCGGTGGCGGTGGCGGTGGCGGGCGCGGGCAGTGCGAAACGTACCTGTATTGTTCGCTAGTCTGGGCAGCGCAGGGCACGACGCGCGGCTCAGCGCTCCCCAGCCTCGCGCTAGCTGCCTCCACGAGAGCCGCCTGATTGGCCAGCGGGCTCCGCCGTTTAAAACAGCCTCCTCGCCTGGCCATTGGCTGCTGGCCTCATGCATATTAGGTAGGCGCCCGCGCCCATTGGGCGCGGCCGCTGGGATCATTCATTCAAACAGAACAACCCGCCGGCGCTGGCTGCGGAGGCAAAACAGAATAATAATAATATCTTCTCTTGCCCATCCCTCCCGCACCGTCTTCTCTGAATTGAGCTGCGATCTCGAAGGACTTTGCAGAGATGGCCCCTCGATTCCCAGAGGCCTCGGCCTCTGGCGTGGGAAGGCGAGGTCGAGCCCAGATGCCTTGCCCTCTGCTCCCGCCGCGCTGCGGCCTGGAGCCCCCGGTCCTGGCCCCTGGCCCTTAGTCCGCTCCCCTGCCTGGGGGAACCTCCCTGGGCCAACCTACGAGGACCGACGGTCCTCCACCTCTACCCAGTTCCGCGGCAACACAGCGGCAGGGGCCTGGGTCTAGTTCCCTCCTCCATGCCCCACTGAGAGCCGCTGCATCTTCTTAGAGATTAGGATGTTTCGGCCCTTGGATCCCGCTGCCCACTCGAAAGGAATCTGACTCCACCCTTGCAGATCCTGTTCCACTTGGCTCTTTGCACTAATTGCCACAAAGTCTGTATTTGCGCCTGCGATTTTGGAAACGGCAGACTGGAACACCAAAACGGAGTTTGATAAGAGCAGAAAAAATTTGAGAAATTGTAGTTTCCTGAGCAGGGAGTTAAAAGTGAAACTGGCCCCTCTTCATGGCCTCTTTTCAGACAGGCTTTATCTCCTCTTTGGACACACCCTCTAGTGAAGAATCAAAGTGCTAGGAATGAAAGAATGAATGAGATTTGACTTGGTCTTCACTTTGTCACTACCTGATGTATATAGCCTTTAGCAAGGCACTCTTGGGGGGAATCAGTCAATGGTTTTCAAAGTGTGAGATGACTAATGTCACTTCTCTAATGGATGTTTGGAAATTTGTGTACATTTTTGGTTACCAAGAAGACTGTCTCACAGCAGCTCAGGAGGCTGAAACAGGAGGATCACAACTTCAAAGCCAGCCTCAGCAACTAGGAGGCCCTAAGCAAGTCAGTGAGATCCTGACTCTAAATAAAATACAAATAGGGCTGGGGATGTGACTCAGTGACTGAGTGATCCTGAGTTCAATCCCCAGTGAGACCCCCCAAAAAAGAAGACTGGCAAGTGTTGCTGGAATTCAATAAGAAAAAGAGATTTTTGGGATGTTAAATGTCCTACACTGAGCAGGGCCATCACTAAATGTTTCACTCCAAATACCAATATCAACCCTGTTTGAAAAACACCTAAGAGCTCTTGTCTCTTTGAGATAGCACAAACTTCCTAGAAAGGATGAAAAAGGAAGGGTGAGAAAAATTAAAACATTTTAAGGATTGAAATTTGGAGAAAACAATACAAAGGAGGAAACATGAGTTCATCTCCCCCATGTGACATTCCCTTTCCAAAGGCCAAGAGATCCAGCTATTTTTGATTCACATAATTGGAAAGGAGACTCACTATAAGATTCATTTTTCAGATATTTTCCAAAGAGTGTGACTGAGTTTGAAGAGTGCAAAGGAGCTAGCCTCACACAGAACCTGTCTCCCCAGCCCTTGCCAAGACATCCTCTGAACCCTTAAAGCTGGAACACCTAAGCATCCAATCCAGACCAAAAGACAATAATAGTGCAGCTTTTGACAAGAGCTGACAGGTATCAAGCCACTATCCCAAATCTCCAATCTACAGACTATCAGGAGTTCAGATCTTAGGGCACCTCATCTGACTCTCAGCCCCATTAGAACTCGCTGAATGGTTGCTTACCTTCTTGACTACCTCCAATTATAGAGAGCTTACCACCTCCCTTCTTGGATGTCCCTTCCATCTCTAACCATCTCTGAACCTTGGAGATCACTATCCCACACATAATCCAATCCCTCACCCTTCAGAGAGTCATGGCAGGCTAGGACTTTTCTCCAGGCAGACAGTTCCAGCTTCTATAACCAAATTCTCAGGACCCAACCTGCCCAGGCTACAGCTGTCTTCTTTTCCTGAGTCCCCCATCTCTGCCTAGCCCAGAGAACAGTCTCCCCATTGATCTGACCTCCTTCTGCCAGAGCACATTGACCTCTCAAGGCTGTTGAGCCTTCCTAGGCCAGATATTTGGGCTGAAGTCTTAGTACAGGGTCTCTCGGTGGGCCAGCTGTTGCCCTGCATCCTAGCCATGCTAGGTAGCTAGCAACACTTAGCATTAGCAGAGACAGCAGCTTGAAGGCAAACCAGAAAGATAAGAGCATCTCCAAATTACCCAGACCCCTGCTTCCCCACCCCCACCCCCCCACCCTCCACCCCCTCCACCCCCTCCACAGCCCCACCCACTCTCCTCTTTCTGTACACATACTTCTAAAGTGAAAAGGGTTGCTCCTACTCTTCGAGGGAGGTGTTTCCATCTCTGCTCTAGAGAAAGCTCCTCCTTATAGGAGGAAATGAAGCACTTGGTCTGAAGCTTCCAACTGTGGTTGCAATGATCAGAACCTTAGGTGACTATGACATAGCTTAGAGTGTTAGAGATCTGAAGGTGCCATGGTTCCCTGCTTCTACCCCCTCTCCAACAAACACATGTCTTCTTCATTTCCAACCTTGTCGTTTTCTCCAACTCTTCCCTGAGTCCCCAGTTAGAGTCCTTAACAGCTCGGTTTACTTCTATGTGGCCTAGGTGATTCCTACCTCACCAAATCGCTCATAATTTAATTCCATGTACATGTATTGAATGTCTTTTAATGAATAACAGAAAGGAGATTGAATGGAAAGGCAGGGCTGGAAGGGACAAGGCTGTGACCACTTGGGCTGTGTTGATGACTTCCTGGTATACTCTTTGACATGTTACCTCACCCCTTCCAGCCTCAGCATCCTTTGTCAAACCAATTCAACCTATCTTCTCCACTTAGAGCATTTCTCAAGTCTTATGGTAAGGGAGGCTGTGAGTGAGGGTGGTCTGGTTGTCACTAGTCTAAAGCTGCCCAGGGCAGGGCTAACAATCAGTCTGGAAGACAAGAAAGTAACATAAAGTGAGAGGTGTCTGGGCCCAGCCTGGGCTTAGGGACCCCAAGGCAGGTAACCACCTCTGTGCAGCAGAGAAGTCAATTGGTATGTACTGTCTTGGGGGTAACTTACACAGGAGCCCAGACCAGTTAAGCAACTGATGACGTGAAGGAGGGTGCTTTAGGCCTCTGCCCTGGCCTCTGGAGAAAGCACTTTAACCCTGTCACTCAACTCTGAGGCCCAGTACCAAGCAAAGCCTATCCACAAAGGAGAACCTCAAACCAGAATCCCTTAAGCTGCTCAGCTGCCTAGAGAAGTTATTAAAACATTGAAAGTAAATAAGAAATAGGACGAAGTGTGGCAAATGTTATTTAAAGAGGTTTTCAGTTCCTATCAGTTGAAGCCCCCCAAAAGATTAAGAGAAATTCTTATCATTCAACAAAGATGAATCCCTGATCCCCTGGTGCAACCTTCTCCCGCCTCTATGCACACGCTTCTAAGTCCTCACTTGGGTACCCAGCACGTAAAGGAGACTTTCCAGAAACCAAGCCTGGCCAACTCCTGTTTAATAATCAATGTAGGGCTGAGTATGTGGCTCAGCCTGGCATGCTCAATGCCCTAGATTCAATCCCAGCAACATATACATTCACACACACACACATACACACACACACCAACAATCAGTGGAAGTGTAGGGGCTGGGGCAGGGGTGTATTGGTATGGGATTGTTGAATCATTTAAAATAGCACCCTTGAGGGGCTGGGGCTGTAGCTCAGCAGTAGAGTGCTTGCCTAGCATGTGTGAGGCACTGGTTTGATCCTGAGCATCACATAAGAATAAACAAAATAAAGGCATTCTGTCCATCTACAACTACAATAAATAAATAAATAGCACCCTTGAGAAGAGATTTCCAGTTTCCAACAGTGGCCCTAGATAGGTCCACAGGAAACCTGGTGGATGGGGCAGGCCTGTACCTCCTTTCCCACCACACCCCACTGTACAGATTCCTCAGGCATCCTGAGACTCCATGGCCTAGAGCCTTGATTGAGCCTTGATTCCTGATCAAGACTTGAGCACTGGGGTCTGAATATGATGCTGGTCTGCACAGAGGTGGCTGGGCCCTCACATTTGGAGGCAGCTGGGGGCAGCTCCTTCCCACAGCATTGATCTTGCCCTGGGATAGGATGAGCTACCTCTCTCAGTACCTATTCAAAAAAGAGTTTGGAAGCCAGGGTCATTTAGCCTGACACAGACCTATAAGTACCACACAAAGGCTCTTCTTAGGTTGCTTTCAAGCAGACTGAAAAGCAGGAAGTGGGTGAGCTCAGGAAGGATTGCCTGCATTTTACCATTCACACCCAGGTAGGTAGGAATAAAATCCTAATCTACAAAAGCCCCAGGGCCAATGAAACTGGACAGACCAGACCTTCAGGGAAGTTGGGGGAGGGGGGTGGAAGAGAAGTGCCCTTGTCCCTGCCAGACACCGTGTCCTGGGGGAGTTCAAGGACCCTCCCTTGGGGAAAGAGTAGCAAGAGCCCTGCTCTGAAAAACCTTGCCATTTTCACCATGTTGCTGGGTAACCAACCCAGTGGAGGCTACCTAACCCTCAACCCCCATCCCATCCAGAGAATGCATACTTACAGTAGGTCTGCCACCTTGCGCTGAGTTTTAGAGTGGTGGCCCTTCTGTGTCCAGGGCTCTAACTCACTGAGCAGCTAATGAGCCAGCATCTCCCTCTTAGGGAACAGGTACAAGCTGTCTATCTTTACCTGAACCAAAGGGATTCCTGCAGTGTGGGTGGGGGGCTGAGGACAGGCCAGTCTCTATGTGGGTTTGGAGCAGCTCTTTAAAAAGTGCTCCTGGGCCCTGGTGCATTGGTGTATACCTGTAATTCCAGCAACTATGGAGGCTGAGACAGGAGATCTTGAGTTCAAACCCAGCC